GGGTTTGAACCACCAGCCTTCTGGTTAGCAGTCAAGTGCCTTAGGCACTACACCACCAGAGCTTCTACTCATTTTCTAGGCAATCTCATTAATGATTCATTCTTAAATTGCCATCTACATCACCACCATGAGACCTAGACATGCAATTCTCTTACTTTAGAGGCTCTTGAATATCATATATGCATAGAACAATCATTAAATGCGCTCATGCACCTTTGTAATTTATGATCCAGCACCCAACCCAACTTATAATGTTAAGCATTCACTCTCATAATTAACACCATTAAAAAAAATGCTCTCCTACTTTCCTGTCCCTGAAACATAATCTGAATGACATGTCATGAAATTTTGTGGGTAGTAATGCTGGTATAAATGTCAGAGATGGATACTGCTTCAGCATGCAGAGAAGATTTAATAGATGAAGTACATAGATGACAGATAAACAAATTAATTAACTTCAATGATTGTTGCATAGAAAATATCATTTCCTGGAAGACCTGAACATTAATTTTCTTGCTTTATATTGAAATTTTTCACTTTGTGAATACAATTATAGTACTTTTTTTGTTGTTGTTGTTTTATCATGATTTGGGTGAAAGTCTACAGAGCAAATTTATTTTCCATACAGCAGTTCATACATATTTTCTTTCATGATATTGAGTGTAATCTCTATAATGTAGCATCTCTCTTCACACTTCCTTCCTGTGGTTACCTTTTCCCTGTGTAATTCTTTCCTGTGCATTCCTGCTCTCTGAGCTATCTCCCTGTGCAAATACTGCCCTTCTGATCTCCCATGGTTGATTTTTCTAAGGAGTGTACCTACCTAATGTAAATGTTCCTCTTATGTTGTTGTTGTTGTTATGTGCCGTGGAGTCAGCCTCAACTCATAGTGATCCCTCCTTGAGTTTCCGAGACAGTATCACTACAGAAGTAGATTGCCCCATCTTCCTTCCAAGGAGTGGCTGGTGGGTTTGAATCGCCAGCCTTCTGGTTAGCAGTCATGTGCCTTAGGCACTATGCTACCAGAGCTCCCTATATGGGTGTCTATTTTGGGGCTGAAAGCCATGGGAATGAGCTCAATTCCAGGCCTGAAGAGTGACTACAGGCCATAATATTTGGGATTTCACCAGTATCTATCAGACCAGTAAGCCTGGTCTTTCTTATTTTAATCTATAATCTTTGTATTTTGTTTTAATCTTTCTTTACTGTTGATGAAATAAAATATGAAAATATTGATCATGAAATAATTGGCCATCTAAGTTGAGGCAAGGAAATTTTATAGAATAAATATAAATATAATTTATT